CCCGTGGTGGGAGCGGCCGCCTGGCTTGTGGAGGGGGGCTGGGACAGCCCCAGCTGCTGCTGTGGAGAGAAGAGCGAGCCGGGGTGAACGGGGCCAAGAGCTCCCCCGGGACGGGAAGAGGAGGGTACACACGCGCAGCTGGAGGCTCTCCGAGAGGGGTGGTCCCTGGACGCGTGCGCCTGTGCCCAGGGCGTCTGAAAGTGGCGCCCAATGCTCCCGGCGCGGCCTCGTGCTCTGCACCCCGTCTCCGGAGCCTGCTCCGCGTCACGGCGCACGGGGCTGCGCAGGAGGGAGGAAGGCAACACGTCTCCAAGGACCTGCAGCAGCACCCCTTCTCCCACCGGCTCGACCGCACTGCAGTGTGAACGGGGCCACTGGAAGGCGGGTGCAGAACTGGCTGGAGAACCGTTCCCAGAGCGGAGTTATTAACGGCTCTCAATCCTGCCGGAAGGGCAGAACAAGGGGGCTCTGCAGGGGTCTGTTCTGGGACAATGTCCATCACCCATTTCGATACTGGCACAGAGAGCACGCTTCTTAAGCTGGCCGATGATCCCGAGCTGGGAGGGGCTGGGCGTGCTCTGGAGGACGGGTCAGAATTCAAACTGATCTGGACACACTGGAGAAATGGTTGGAGGCCACCGGGATGAAGTTGAATAAGGACAAATGCAAAGTGCCCCGCTTAGGAAGGACCGATCAGTTTCACACACACAGAATGGGAAGCGACTGTCTGGGAAGGAGCCCGGCAGAAAGGGATCTAGGGGTCAGAGGGGGCGACAAGCTAAGTATGAGTCAGCTGTGACACTTGTAAAGAAAAGCAAACGTGACTCTGGGCTGCATGAACAGGAGTGTGGTGAGCCAGACACGAGGAGTCGTTCTCCCGCTCTGCGCCGCGCGGATCAGGCCTCAGCTGGAGTCTTGTGTCCAGTGCTGGGCACCGCATTTCAGGAGAGATGTGGAGAAACTGGAGAAGGCCCAGAGAAGAGCAACAGGAATGAGGAAAGGCCTAGAGAACATGAGCTGTGAGGGGAGGCTGAAGGAACTGGGCTTGTGTGATTTGGAAAGGAGAAGACGGAGGGGCCATGAGAGCAGTTTGCAGGTATCTAAAATGATGTTACAAGGAGGAGTGGAGGAAATTGTTCCCCTTGGCCTCTGAGGACCAGACAAGGAGCAATGGGCTGAGACTGCAGCAAGGGAGGTTTAGGTTGGACATTAGGAAAAAGTTCCTGCCCGTCAGGGGGGTCAAACACTGGAATAAATTGCCTGGGGGTTGTGGAATCCCCATCTCTGTCCCTGGAGCGCCGCACGTGCTCTGGAGCCAGGAGTGGGCCGGAGCCGGGGACTTTTTCCAGCCCAAGGACCCCTTGGGCACATGGAGGCCACCTGGAAGGCCTGCCTTTGGCGGGGAGGAGAGGCCGGAGACAGGGGCTGGCCTGAAGCAGCAGGGGTGGCACCGAGCCAGAAGCCAGTGGGGCAGCACGGAGAGGCCTGGTGAACGGGCTCCCCAAAGTCTCTTAGCGCCACAAAGTACCCGCCAAGAACAGCGCAGCCTGGAAAAGACCAGCCAGCTGGTCTGCGCGGCGCCGCCGGCCCCGGCAGGGGGAGAAGGAAGCGGAGGTGCGTCGGTCCCGCCCTGCACGGCCTTGGAGGGACCCAGCGGGCGAAGCCTGGGACCCGCGGACACTAGTGCGTCCAGATTCACCGGGCCGGGCGCGTGGCCAAGCCCCCAACGGAAACCACAGGGCCCCTCACTCAAAGAGCTGGGCCTCGGGTAGAACCGGTACCAGCCCCCTCAGTCCTCACCTGTGTGGGTCTCACCGGGGGTCCCCCCAGCCATGGGGGAGGGGAGATCAGGGCCCCACGGCTCCTCCCCGTGCTCCATCCACCTCACGTGGGTCTTGGGGAGCGGGCAGCCTGGGGAGAAAGACGGAGACGGGCCGTCACTCTCCTGACTCGGCTCAGGGGGAGTTGCTCCTCTGGAGTCAGTGGGGAGGGGAGGATGTGGGGGGCCAGTGGGAGGCCCTGGCCAGGCCCGGGAG